TTATATGTTACAGATCAAGGGTAAGTCTATTATTAAGAAATTATACTATTTTATGAATATTTTGTCCCAGAGATTACACTGGTTTATCTTTTTTCTGAATTATAACATGCATTAAGCTACAAGACCCATGAAAATTTTATTTTGTCTCTTTCCTTTACTCTATTATTTCTAAAGCTGAGTTCAAGACATGTAGTGTTCAGCAAAGGAGGCATGAATCAACAACTAACTAGCTTACTTAGTGATGTAAAAGCTGGAGCAATTAATGATTAAGATTCACATTATTCATTTCTGTTTACTCATATATATATATATATATATACACACACACACACAAAGCAGTCAATTAAATATATATCACACATATATATACAAACCAGTAAACACCACAAATATATATACAAAGCAGTAAAAACTACAAATATATATACAAAGCATAACCAGTAAATATATATCACGCATATATATACACAAAGCAGTAAACACCACAAATATATATACAAAGCAGTAAAAACTACAAATATATATACAAAGCATTAAAAACAATATATATATATATATATATATATATATATATATATATATATATATATACATATACACATTGTATACCCACAACAAATAATAAATTTATAATAATACACAAAAAAGACTTTCAGAAAGAAACTAACCTCGGTCTCGGTCGTTGCCTCGCCGCAACCCGTCGTCGTCTTGCTGCAGCCTGTTGCTGCCTCACCGTAGCACGTCGCCGCCTCACCGTAGCACGTCACCGCCTCGTCGTAGCACGTCGCCGCAAAGTTGCAGAGTCTGAAGCCGAGGAGGGTTAGAGATGCAGCTGAGTCTGAAGCCGATGAGGATTAGAGATTTTAGGAATTTAGTTATTTTAGGAATTTAGTTATTTTAGGATTTTAGGTATTTTAGGATTTTAGGTAAATTAAAATATGATTTAGGATTTTAGGATTTTAGTGTTGTAGTAAATTAAAATAGGATTTAGCCTTTTCAATATATATATATATATATATTATGTAGTTTTGATTAATGAATATAATACATATACTTCTAAAATAATTAAAAAAATGATTTATTTAATTATTTTTTACATTTGTGTATGATAAAAAATCTTCTTATATTTAAATATTCACGTAAATGTTAATTAGTATCTTTAGGAGTGTGTACAATTCGGTGAAAATATGTTAAATAATCGAACAAAAAATTCAATTAATAAATTTTTGAAGTAAAATATTTCAGTTCGGTCAATGGATAAAGATTTTTTAAAATTTTAACTATCGATAGTTTAATTAACTAAATTAACATATTGTTTAATTGTGTAGTTATTATTAGTGTGTGCAGGGTCGATCCATTAAAAATAGGGGTCATGTCTAATAGTTTAATCTAGACTCCACGTTATTGTATCATATAACAAAAATAAAAATGTAATTAAATTCTTTTGTCCAAATATAGTACATAAAAATTTAATAAAGAGAGAATGCAATTCAAAAGTTAATTTAAAAGTTTCATTTTTCGTTAATATTTAAATACAAAATTATTCACCAAAATTTCGATGTCAATTCTTCTAAAATTTTATTTCCAATTACAATGAAGACCAATCTATGAAATAAAAAATAATAAGAATAGGTAAATGTTTTGTACAATTTTAAGTATAAAATAAAAATAATTATTTTCGATATAATCAAAATGAGTATTTTAAAAAATTGATTAATCAATTATTCATATTAATTGTTTAACCAAATCAAACAACTATAATAGTGATTAAATACATCAAAATTGACTGATAAGCTAACTTTGTTACTAAACATGAACTTCAATTCATCATTTAATTTGTACAAACCAAACATGTCTATGTAAATATCTATGATCTTTTGAGGCTAAACCAATTATTTACACGATGTCGAAAACAAGATAGCATGAAACAAAGTCTCATTATATATATACATTTTTTTTGGGTAAGGATACACTTATTTTTAATTGTTAAGCTAACTACGAATTTGAGAATTTCAATGTAATTTCTTGTTAATCCGACTTCAGTTTCGCATATGATTTTAATACTCTAATTTTGCTATTAGGGACGAAGCCAAAGGAGGGGCATTTTCTGTCGCCAATGTGTCAACATATTGGCGACAGAATTGATTTTGTCATCGCATTCTGTAGCAAAAATAAACTTTACTTAAAAAATTTATTATTTCAGTGATGGAATGAACGGTCGTCGTATGTTCCGTCGCCAACCTCAAACGTCAAATCTACCGTTGCACCAAACATCGCAACATAATTAATTTTCGTTGCCGATTCCATCGTCATAGCGCGACAGGCATATAGGGCGTCGCATTTTCTGTCGCCAATGTGTCAACATATTGGCGACGGAATTGATTCTGTCGTCCCATTTTGTAGCAAAAATAAACTTTACTTCAAAATTTATATACTTTCGCGGCGGAAAAAAGTCTCGTCGCAAATTCCGTCGTAAGCCTCTGTCGTCAATCTCTTTGTGTAAAGATTACGTGGGAATATTTTCAAGTTTGCGCCAAATATTGCAACAGAATTATTTTTGTCGCGGATTCTGTAGCACAACCGCAACGGCACCATCAATCGTTGCCTTTTCCGTCGCCGTTGTGGTGACAGAACTTAATTCCGTCGCAAAATCCGTCACCAAAATGTGGGCGCCAAAATTTCTTGGCCTTTTTCTCACTTTGCGCCAAAAATTGCTACAGAATTGATTTCCGTTACCATTTCCGACGCAAAATCGTGACAGAACACATTCCGTCGCAAAAACCGTTGCGAATCGACAACGGATTACCCTCTGTCGCAATGTTTTCGTCGTGATTCGTGATTTTTCTTGTAGTGCCATTCCATCGGGAATCCTCCTATTAGTATAACCAAAATATAGAGAGTAGAATAGAGAGTTATATTTGTAATTCCTATTGTAATAACTTTTTGCCAATACAGAAAATCCTTCTTCAAATTGCCTTTATTTTGTGTATGATTTATTTTAAATCTTACACTAGAAATATTCTCATTATTTCCAGTCCAAGTTGTTGTTGTATCTTGGTGTTGTGAACCGAATCGATCCTAACAAGTGATATCAGAGCCCCAGGTTGGTTCATAGATATATCTTCTTGTATCGTTTATGTTAGAACTCATACTGGTAAAGTGAGTGTACATGTCTAGGAAAAGCTCTGGTTAAGACTTGGTATTTAAGCAGTTCATTTGTGACTCACCTCTCTTCTCCAGAAATATTTTCCTGGTGTACTATTCAAAGGACCGGTAGTGTTCTATTATACGATACTATTTAGATATATTGTCCAGGATCAAGAACACCACTTACAATGACGGCAAAGTACAAGATTGAAAAGTTCAATGGGAAGAATTTCTCGTTGTTGAAAATGAGAATGAAAGCAGTTCTCAGGAAAGATAACTGCGTTGCAGCAATTAAAGAAAGACCAGCCGACTTCACAGACGATGCGAAGTGGATAGAAATGGATAGCAATGTTATTGCCAATCTTCACTTAGCACTTGCTAATGAAGTTCTGTCCAATGTGGCAGAAAAATGTACGGTAAAAGAGATATGGGATACTCTCATAAATTTGTATGAGGCCAAATCACTGCACAACAAGATCTTCTTGAAGAGGAAGCTATACACTCTCAGGATGATGGAGACATCCTCAGTAACTGAGCACATCAACACTTTCAACACTCTATTTTCACAACTCTCGGCGTTGAGTTATAAAATAGAAGTGAATGAACGTGCTGAAATCTTACTCCAAAGTCTACCGGATACATATGATCAACTCATTATCAATTTAGTCAACAACAAGGAGGTACTTGTCTTCGATGATATTGCAGTTGCAGTTCTTGAAGAAGAAAGTCGGCGCAAAAACAAAGAAGACAAAGTTGGAATCTCACAACAATCTCAGGCGTTGATAGTAACAAGAGGAAGATCAATGGAGCCTGGCTCTAGTGGGAGTCAGAACCGAGGTAGATTAAAGTCAAGGGTAAGAAGAAGTCAAGTGTTTTCACTGTGGCAAAATGGGGCACTTCAAGAGTGAGTGTTGGCCGCTCAAGAAGGATGAGACCAAAGGTAAAAATCCCGAGACGTCAAATGCTCAGGGATGTGTTGTGAGTACATCGGATGGAGGCGAAGTTTTATTTGGTGAAGCAGCAACAATTGTTGAAGGCAGGAAAAGTCTAGCTGATGTTTGGCTTATTGACTCAGGAGCAACATGGAATATGACCTCACGGAAAGAATGGTTTCATGAATATAAACCTGTCTCTGGAGGATCAGTGTTCATGGGAGATGACCATGCCTTAGGGATTGTTGGCTTTGGTACTATCAAACTAAAAATGTTTGATGGTATGGTTCGCACTATCCAAGAGGTACGACACGTGAAAGGCCTGAAGAAAAAATATATTGTCTTTAGGACAATTAGATAGCCGTGAATGTAAAATTCACATTCAGGATGGGATCATCAAAGTAATCAAGGGTGCGCTTGTTGTGATGAAAGTTGAAAACATAGCGGTCAATCTATACATGCTTAAAGGAGAAACACAACTACAAGGAGAAGCAGTTGTTGCATCACACAATCTTATTGATGAATCAACGATGGTGTGGCATAAAACACTTGGCCACATGTCGGAACGAGGTCTAAAGATTCTTGCTGATCAACATCTTCTTCCAGGGTTAAAAAATGTTTCATTACCTTTTTGTGAGCATTGTGTTACGAGTAAGCAGCATAGATTGAAGTTCGAGAGCTCTAAAGAAAGGAGCAAGGCTATCTTGGAGCTAATCCACTCCGATGTTTGGCAAGCACCAGTTATATCCCTGGGAGGTGCAAAGTATTTTGTATCCTTCATAGACGATTACTCGAGGAGATGTTGGGTGTATCTAATCAAGCGGAAGGCGGACGTATTTGAAGTTTTCAAATTCTTCAAAGCGCGTGTGGAACTTGAATTCGAGAAACGGATCAAGTGTTTGAGGTCAGATAATGGAGGAGAATATACAAGTGATGAGTTTGATAAATTCTGTCTATAAGAAGGTATCAAACGGCAGTTCACGGTGACGTATACTCCACAACAAAATGGAGTGGCAGAGCGGATGAACAGAACCTTGTTTGAAAGAACAAGAGAACTGTTGAGGACTGCAAATTTGGCAAATTCATTTTGGGCTGAAGCAGTCAAAATCGTCTGTTATGTGATCAATCGGTCACCATCAACTGCAATTGATCTGAAAATGCCAATTGAAATGTGGACTGGTAAGCCATCTAGTTATTCTCACTTACATACATTTGGGAGTCCGGCATATGTGATATACAACGCTCAAGAAACATCTAAACTTGATCCAAAATCAAGAAAATGTGTTTTCTTGGGGTATGCTGATGGAGTGAAGGGGTATCGCCTGTGGGATCCCACTGCCCACAAGGTTATCATCAGCAGGGATGTTCTATTTGTAGAAGATAAGGTACAAGAAAGTAAAAGCACTGGAAAGGAGAAACCAGTGACAACTACAGTACAAGTTGAGGGAAGGAAGGAAGAAGAAATTCCAGTTTCCCCTAAGTCTGTTGTGTATGACTTGTATCTTGAGCAGTTGGATGTGAAAACTGCATCTCTACATGGAGAACTTGAAGAAGAGATTTACATGCTCCAACCAGGAGTTTTTGAAGAAAAAGGAAAAGGGAACTTGGTTTGCAGGTTGACCAAATCTCTATACGGTCTCAAACAGGCGCCGAGATATTGGTATAAGAGATTTGATTCATTCATTCTGAGCCTTGGATACAACATGTTTAATTTTGATCCTTGCGCATATTGCAAGAGACTTGATGATAATCACTTAATCAGTTTATCATCTTGCTGTTGTATATTGACGGCATGTTGGTAGTAGGTCCCAACAATGATCGTATCACGGAGATGAAGGCTCAACTAGCTAGGGAATTTGAAATGAAGGACTTGGGACCAGCAAACAAGATTCTAGGGATGAAAATTCACCGAGACAGAAATAAAAGGAAGATTTGGCTCTCTCAGCAAAATTATCTGAAGAAAATCTTGTGGCGCTTCAACATGCAAGATTGTAAGCCAATTTCTACCCCTCTTTCTATTAATTTCAAGTTATCCTCAAGTATGAGTCCTAGCAACGAAGCAGAGAGGACGGAGATGTCTCGAGTACCGTATGCATCAGCAATGGGCAGTTTAATGTTTACTATGATCTGCACTAGACCAGACATTGCACAAGCAGTGGGAGCGATCAGTCGATACATGGCAAATGCTGGTAGAGAGCATTGGAGTGCTGTGAAGAAGATCCTTATATATATCAAGGGTACCTCAGATATTGCATTGTGTTATGGAGGATCAGACTTCATTATTAAAGGCTATGTTGATTCAGATTATGCAGGTAATCTTATTGTAGTAAATCCACCACGGGTTATGTGTTTACTCTTGCTAGCAGAGCAGTAAGCTGGGTCTCGAAGTTGCAGTCGGTTGTGGCAACCTCAACGACGGAAGCAGAATATATAGCTGCTACTCAAGCTAGTAAAGAGGCAATATGGTTGCAAATGCTATTGGAGGAGCTCGGACACAAAGTAGAGAAAATGACTCTATTTTGTGACAGTCAGACTGCTTTGTACTTGACAAAGAATCCATCATTTCATTCCAAGACGAAACACCTACGGGTCCAATTTCACTTTGTTCGTGAAAAGGTGGAAGAATGGAGTGCGGATATACAGATAATTCATACTAAAGATAACCTGACAGATATGTTAACAAAGCCGATTACCAACGATAAGTTCTTATGGTGTAGATCCTCAATTGGCCTAACAAGTATGCAAGCAGCACGGAATTGCCGAAAAGGATGAAGGTCCACATTGTGACTTTAAGTGGGAGATTTGTAAATACTAAAGTCAAATGTGAAAATGGCCAGAACCTTTTTTCTGAAGAGGTTAGGAGCAGGAGCAAATACTTGGTCTAAGAGCAAGGTGCTCATTCCTGAGAAAGAACAAGGTGCTCATTCTTGAGAAAGAGCAAGGTGCTCATTTCTGACAAAGAGCAAGATGCTCATCTCTGAGAAAGAGCAAGAGGAATTTGTAGGATGGGTTTGCTATAAATAAGCAACTCCTCTTCATCTAATATCATCCCACTCCATCAGGAATCCTCCCATTAGCATAGCAAAAATATAGAGAGTAGAATAGAGAGTTATATTTGTAATTCCTATTGTAATATCTTTTTGCCAATATAGAAAATCCTTCTTCAAATTGCCTTGATTTTGTGTATGATTTATTTTAAATCTTACACTACAAATATTCTCATTATTTCCAGTCCAAGTTGCTGTTGTATTTTGGTGTTGTGAACTGTATCAATCCTAACAAAACAAGTATTGGTTATGCATCCAAGAGACTTGGAAAATGCCTGCTCTGCAACTACTCTTCTTCTCTTTCTTCACACATTTTATGTTTCCATGTGCTTCTGATCTTGCTAACATAATTGACCGGCATCTATATTTTGCTGATCTTATAAGTGTTTTGTTGGAAGAAAGTGATTAAGGAAGAAATGAATTATAATTCGATGAAAAAAAATAAGGTGAAATAAAATATGAATTAAAATTACATTGTTTGGTAGGGAGGAATAGAATTATTAAGAATGAGAAAGGAGAAGTAATATAATTACTAAAATATTGCATAATAATAATAACAATAATAATAATAATAATCTAAAAACATAATAAGTCGCAATCGAAGTTATATTCCTCATTTATGTCCTGTTTTTAATACTAATCATTTTGTACATTTTACTTTTAGAGTTGTATTATATAAATTTTTGGACAAAAATACCCCTACCGTTATAACTTCCATTATTTTTTCTGTTATTGTTACCATGCACATGCATCCACCATATATTTTCTTATATTCTTTAATAATAATGATATTTGTAGACATTATATATTGAATTATTATAATAAATAAATTTGATTTCATATAGATTTTAATTAGTAGAGATTTGTTAGTTATTTTAAAAGATCGCACATAGAAAAAAAATTAGTAATAATAATAATAACCAATAGTACTTTTGTCATTTTCACCATTTTTTCCCTTTCCACCTACTCGAAATTGCAATTCATGAAGGACATATGTATTGCAATTCCGTCCCACCAAACAATGTAGTTTTGATGGGTGATAATTCTATTAGAAAAGAATTTCAATTACACCATTCCAAACACCCTCTTAGTACTCCGTAATATTTATGTGTATCTCCAGCATTTAACACCAATGGGTCAGGCATGAACTAGAGCATAAAACAGCATATAAAGAAGAGGTTCAAGATAAAAACTGTCTTAAAAGTACTATATATAAGAATTTTAACATAGCATGGTCATGTTTATTTATGCTACACTATAGTATTTCACTATTCAGATTTCAGAGAGAGCATGTCTTCTATGGTTCACGGTGGTGGGCGCGCACTGCTAACTTCCAATCCGTTTCCTGTGTATTCATACAAAAAATGTTGCTAAATGGGAATTGCAGATAGAGATTTTTAAAGAATTAGTATAAGTTAGAACGTAGACAATGAGTGTGACAAAACCTAAAGTGTAACCAAAAAGTGTTAAGATTTCAAACTACTAAGAGTCTCACATTGGAAATATAAGAGAGAATATATGAGTTTATAAGACCATGAGTTAGACCAGCTAATTGATTTGATTTAATTTTTTTAGTGTGATTTGGCCCATGTACATTATAGCCCAATTGAGTAACCATGACTACATGGTATCAAAGCCTGTTCGGTCCACTTTGATGGCACCAAGAACTTTTGTCTCATTGGGTTACACTAGCTAATTGATTAGATTCAATCTTTTAGTGTGATTTGGCCCATGTGCTATAGCCCAATTGAGTGACATTTACCTAATATCTTAGATTATAAGACAAACCATTACCCCGCCCACAACAAATTGGCAAATTATATCATGCACCACGGTGCATGATCAATCATGCATCGCGCATCTCTTTGTTAAATGAAAAGAAACGGTGCTTGTTTTCCGCCGTTTCGCACCCTTTCGCAAAAAGTAACCCTGTTATTCAGTGTTATTTTGTATACATTGCAGTTTCAGTTCAACACAACTACAGTTTCATTTCGATATAACTATAGTTTCATTCGATATTTATAGACTCAAATATGTGAAAATGTTATTTAATTTTATTTTATATACACTATAGTTTTATTAAAACACAACTACATGATCATTTTGATATAAGTACAGTCTCATTGTACAATATACACTCAAATATGTGAAATGTTATTCAGTTTCATTTTATATACACTGCAGTTTCATTACACTATAACTACAATATTATTTTGATATAACTGCAGTATCGGTTTAGATATACTGTAGTGTCAGTTGGTGTTTAATACACCAAACAAGCAGACTCCGAACGGCGGGCCATTTCTTTACTTAAAGAAACGGCGCCGTTTTTTACCGCGGAGCATATGCACCGCGGTCTATGATATAACGACTTGCAACAAATTATGGTCCACACAGTGCTATGTAACCATAACAAAAAGTAAATTTTTGAGTTAATTCCACTAGAGGTCCCTTGTCTTTGGTGGCGATTCCAAATTTAGTCCCAACTATTGCTTTTGCCATTTAACATTCCAAACTATTATTTTTTGGACACTTTTAGTCCTTTTCATGACTTTTCCTATTTTTAATAAGAGCATTTTTGTCTCTTCATATTTTTCTTTTGTTATTTTTTCAATGTCAACCGGTTTAATTAATTTAAGACTTTACTAAAAACTGGTTGAAAAATATGATTAATAAGAGGTTAAACCGGTGGAAACTGGAAAAATAACAAAAGAAAAATATGAAAAGACAAAAATGCCCTTACTAAAAGTAGGAAAAGTCATGAGAAGGATGTACATTATAGTGTCCAAAAAATAATAGTATGAGATTTTAAATGGCAAAAATGATAGTCTAGGACTAAATTTGGAATTTGGAATTGCCACCAAAGACAAGGGACTTTTGAAGGAATTAACTCTAAATTTTTTATATACTAAAAGTACATTATTTGTGTACTAAATGTACATTATATAAAATAATATACTTTTAGTATTCAAATAATGTACTTTTCCTGAATACAATGTATATTTTTAATATATTAAATGTACATTATTTAATAGTATGGTCCACACAATAATGATTGCCCCACGCACCCTAGCCGAAGCTTTTATCAGCATTGTCTATAGGAAGACCTTCTGTAGCACAAACTGGTCACAACTCACAACTAGAAAGTAATAAAAAAGAATGTCTCACCATCTGGGTCGAAGAAGAATGCTTGCTTGGTCTTCCCATCTGGTTGACATGTCTCGTGAACTTGAATTCCTTTGTCCTGCTTTGAAAAATGATGAGCAACAATGAGTAATGGCAAGGGAAAGAGAATAGAATTTCAATCTCAAATGAAAGTGCACTTGGAATATTAGACAACCACACAACCCATATACAGATGTTTTGCTCGCTTCGAAAGCTCAGAAGTTTTAATTTCTAAATGTAGTTTATTTTCAGTTCGAATTTAATACCTTACAACTTAAAAGCTTAAAAGACTGACTTTGGAGCTTCTTGAAAAAAAAGAGATAATATTGCTTTAACACATTGAGGGCTAAACAAGCACTTCCTCATTTGCAACTCACTATTAATTTTTTGGCATCGAAAAATCTTTGCACTGGAAGGATAATTACAAAAGTTGCAGCATCCAAGCACTTCCTCATTTGCAACTCACTATTAATTTTTTGGCATCGAAAAATCTTTGCACTGGAAGGATAATTACAAAAGTTGCAGCATCATGTTGTTTATAAGGTAGTACGTATCCTTTTTAAACATATGATATACCTAAATCCGTAAAAATAATCAGTATTCGACACCAGAAAGAAAAGAAAACACTAGCAATGAATCTATACAAGAGAGAGTATATGGATTAGGTTACATTAATGAAGCTAATTCAAAGATGTTGAAGAGAATGCTTAGATGAGTTTATGAGTCTCATGACAAATAAATGGAAATCACTACAAGTACTGATCCTTTTATGAAACATTCTGTTTTAAAAATTAAACTTTATTTACCACGGATAAATCATCCAAAAAATTGAATGTTCATAAAATGGTGATTGTCTACCAAAATACATGTCCAAATGACTGAGGTTTGTGACCTTTCTCCCCATTTACTGCACCAGTTGTCATATTTGGTTCAAGTTTTCAGAACTTACGGTGTACTAGAAAATAGAAATGCCCAATAATTGCAGACTACACTTTCTTATGTAAAGGTATTTGTATCACTAAAGTCGCCCTTAAGATCTATCCCGGTTGTTACACCCATGGCAGAAGGATTATTCAAGCTTTGATCAATTAATTCTCTTGATGCAAAACTAAGGGATATGAGCATACATACATATATACATATATGTATGTGTTTGTGGGTGTGGGTGTGGGTGTGTAAACTCGCCCGCACTCACAACCCTTGGCTTTTTTTCTTTTTTAGAAAAATGGTTTCTTCTATGCTTTAACTATAAATCCCTTTGGTGGATCCTTTCCAGTGGTGATTGGTGAGTGATTGTTCTTGAACATGGGCTCATGATATGTAAACTCATGCATTTACACAATTACACACATCATTAAAGAACCTCATTGAACAGTTATACAGACTTAAGGAGATCAAGCATTCCTGTACTAGAAGATAGGATTGGATTAACCACGCACAATTTGGTTATAAAGCAAATAGATGCAACATACCCAAAGATAGAACAAACACAGGAAAGGAAACCACAGAAATTTGCATAATACCAACAGAAAACTGCTATCAGAAGGAATTTTTATACCAGTAAATTGAATATACTTGCAAAGGCACATACTAAAATGCATGGAACACAATATGTCAACAGGATGACAAACACAAGTAGACCGGGGGTAACCCCAACGGCCCAACGAAGATAGCTAAGGATACAAACTTGTGAACCACAAGGTCACGAGTTCAAATCTCAGCCTTCTTGGTTTGAGCCAGTCAGCTATGGACAACCTAGGCTAGTTCAAATCTCAGCCTTCTTGGTTTGAGCCGGTCAGCTATGGACAACCTAGGCTGATTTACCTCCTTGTGATCCTTTGCTGGCTAAGGTCACACAACGAGGTCTACCGGTGTAGACTCTCGGGTAATAGCTGCGGGTTTCCCTCGTCACCCCAAGTAGACCAATATTTCTGAATGCTCCTATGCAAAATGTTCAAGGAATATAGTGAAATTAGCAACAATTGGACATGGTTTCAGTAAGCTAGTGGAGAAGGACTTATCAGTGGCAGTATGCTAGATCCAGAATGGTCCTAATAAACTAATAAGGACAGAATTCCATTCCACTTGTAATTACCATAGAGAATAAAGATATAATCATATTTCGCTCAATCAATCCAGACCCTAATTAAGAAGTAACACCTAGAAGCATGAACATTAGAAGCAATACCATTCCCAAAATTGACAGATAAATCAAGCAAATACTCAGTACAAAACTCCACCACGAAATTTCACAAACTAAGCCATTAGGTAGAGAGAGACTATACCTTGAGGGTGTGAACAAAAGAGTCGAAATTGGAGATGGAAAAGCAGACATGGTGCCCTCGGGGAAGATTCTCCGGGGCGGCGATCGCTGATATGGCACTATACTCTGGGAGTTTCGTGGAGGGGTCTCTCTCGATGAGGTGAAGATAGAAAGAACCCAATTTCAACCATATTACACCGAACGGCAAATTCGGAGCTGCCACTTGCTCAAAACCGAATACCTGCAGATAACACACCATCCATATCCATGAAAGAATTATATAATTATATAAAATAAAAACAGAAAACACACACTTCAGTGTAGAACTGAGCGAGGCGCTTGATATCAGGCGATTCGCGAGAAACATGGTTGAGGCAAGCTCCCTCTGATGCTGCCATTTGAGGCGGATAGTGCTGGAAATTTCCTGACTTATGAATTTCCTAGTTCGGGACTGCCGGACTGTTCGAGTGTATAGAGTATATATATACACAAAGTCCAATAGCAGTCTACAATTGTTATAGGGTGGACCATGGTTCACATTGTAGATCATGATCGTATGAAATCTACACTATATATAAAAATAAAATTTTCAATTTTAACATCTAATCCAAAACAGTTCTAAACTATTTAGATTTGTGTAATCTATATATATATATATATATATATATATATATATATATATATATATATATATATATATAAATTAGATATTATTCCGTGTGCAAGAAAATTTCGTGTAACATTACAATTATGGACAAGTTCAAGAATTAGGTAATAGGCCCGGTCCTTTTTGGTAAAAAATTGACCTATGAATCAATTTTAGCTTATTTGACCACTATTAATTGTTTGATTTAGTTAAAAAAATTAATATAAATGTTTGGTTGATTAGCTTTTTGCAACTCTAAAAGGCTAAATTTTAAAAAACTACTCCAAACAACTTTTTCAATTAATTTTTTGATAAAAGAAATTATACCAAACAGCTATCAGCTAACAGCTAATTTACCAAACACTTTTCTACAATCAGCTAATGTTATCAACTATTTATACCCTCTAATTAACACAATAAGCTAACAGCTAACAGCTATCAGCTAACAGCCATTTTACCAAACATGACCATAATGTTTTTCTTTTTTAGAATTACCGTGTTTTCCCCATATGGTATTATTTATTAGCATAATATATATATATATATATATATATATATATATATATATATATAATCAAAAATTAATTACTCATAAAATCAATTAATTCGTGTTCCCATACATATTACGTATTCCCATAAATATTAAGTATAATTATTTTAACAATCATACATATATACATATTAAATCATTTTATTTACGTATTACCATACATTATTCCCAAAAATATTAGGTATGATTATTTTAACAATCATACATATATAGATATTTCACATAATATTATAAATATATATTAATTAATTATGGAAAGCATATTATGGTGATTAGGAAATTATTAACGTGTAATCCGTATAATTTTAAGGAATGTATATATAATAAAAATAATAATTACCATTACACAAAATATATGCATATCGACAAATTAATGAATTAGGTTATAATGTTTATCTTTTTTGAATTACCGTGTATTTCATATATGGTATTATTATTTATCTATATATAATAAAGAAAAATAATTTCCATTACACAGAATATATGCATATCAACAAATTAATAAATTAAGTTATAGTGTTTACCTTTTTTGAATTACTGTGTATTCAGTATATGGTATTATTTATTAGCATAATATATATACAACCAAAAATAATCATAACATTTCCGTGTGACACTAACTAGTTATGGAAAGAAAGAGTATTATGGTAATCAAATAATTAGTTTATCAAATTTTTTTCCTTGTAAAGTTGACTAAAATTTAATAAATTATAGAAAGTATATATTCATATCCGGAGGTATATAATTACTATATATATATATTTCATAACATTTTCGTGTGTATCTAAATAGTTATGGAAAAGAAAGAGTATTATGGTAATTAATTAATTACTTTATAAATTTATTCCGTGTGAAGTTTAGTTACCAAAAACTTCATAAATTATAGAAAGTATATATTTCTATCCGTGTGAATATAATTACTCAATATATATTTCATAAATATTCCGTGTGTAACTAATTAGTTATGGAAAGAAATAATATTATAGTAATTAATTGATTACTTTATAAAAAATTTCCGTGTAAAGTTTTCATAACTAAAATTTCATTAATTATACAAATTACTAGTTTTTCTAAGCTCTTTGCGCGAATAGGATAATGCTCAATAGTTATTTTTAAATAAGTATTTTAAAGTATATCAATGCAATATTATATAGAAGATGTTCATGCATAGGTAAATAAATGTTGAATTTTTTTTATTTAAATCGGTAATTTAAATGCAAGATAATATATGAGAGATTGATTATATATAACTGTCACAAAAATAAATGTTTGCAACTTTGTAATAACGCTGATGGGGTGTCGACCCCGACCCAAGAAGAACAAGGCCCAAGAGATAAAGTCCATGGATAGCGGAGGAAGCCCAGAGCATTTAAAGCATGACCCGGCGGGTAAAAGGTTTATAGGGCCCAACAGGGGCCAAGCCCGCATCCAGGAGTCGGCCCAGGCCCAAGTGGCGACTCGGCAGAGATTCGTTGTTCGGCATTTATAGCCGCAGTTAAGAGGTTCGACCAAGCAAGCCGTTGAGAGCCCGAGAGAGCCGTTGGCCAGCCTGGTAACGCCACCTAACGACCCCAAAAACATAATTAGTCTTAAAGTAGTCTTTTAATGAGCTTTAACTCAGTAGAGGAGGGCCTACTATATAAAGGGCCCTCCGTGGATGTAAAAGGGGCGAGTCCATGCCCAGATAATAGGGAGACACCATTTTTGCTATTAAATTTTCCTCAAAGCTTTTATTGAAAGGTGAATCCACCGACTAAGGTTGTGTTAGTTGGACCTCCCTGGGCTCAAAAACCATAAAACCAACACTGGCGCCGTCCTTGGGGATCGAAACGAAGAGCCACGTCCGTTCTTGAGCAGGCGAGTTCGCGAGAAGGACAAAGAGAGTGTAGGAAAAACGAAGGCTTTGCAATATGTCGGAGGGACGAAGCTAGGCCATCGACCGTAACAATGCGCCGGAAGCTGACTTGAGAGAGCAGCTGAATCAGCGAAACGCCCAAAGTCAAGAAAATGAGTCGGCACCCTTGAATCGGCCACCACCAATGATACCCCTCACCCCCGAACAACTTCCAGCCATTGGGCGGGCTATCGTTGCAGAAAACCGGGGAATGGGAGAACAGTCAGCTTCGCGACCGCCGCCCCGCAATCAACAACCGCCCCAAAGGTCTGGAGAAGGCAGGCAAGGAGATCAGTGAGCAGAGAGTGTACCGGTGCGATCGGTCCATTCGAGGCTTGGCCCGAATGCCGCGCGCCAATCAGCGAGAGAACGATTGGGGGAGAGAGAGCCCAGTCGCGCACCGGTGGGCTCACAAAATCGAGAGGCCGCCCGAGAAAAAGCCCGTACTAGAAGGACCAGGACTCGGGCACGATGGTCCGAGCGACCTACGCGCAACAATGACCAACAAGCCGAATCAGAGGGCGGCGAAAGCACGGAGTCCACTGGAAACCACATGCGAAACGGCGACGATGTGGCTCACCTGGCTCGAGAAGTGCGAAACCTGAAGGAGCAAATGGAAGGTAGGACCAAGTCCCATGGACAAACGTTGCTCACTGCCTTGCCTTTCTCCTCCGAGATCATGTCTTACAAAGTACCCGACGACTTCAAATTCCCAGAGCAGGCCACTTTCGACGGATCCGGCGATCCACGGGAGCACCTTCTAAGCTACCAGGCTAAGATGCAGGTTTTGGGAGTCCGAGACCCTGTCATGTGTCGCGCTTTCCTACCGACATTAAAAGGGCCAGCACAAAGATGGTTGGTGGCTCTGCCCCCAGGATCAATACGCAACTTTGAAGAGTTGGCCGACCGCTTCATGAGCCACTACGCGGCCAACATCAAGCCACAGAAAGATCTGACCCATCTGGGAGACGTTCATCAAGAGGAGGGCGAATCCCTCATGACCTACCTGGCCTGATGGCAAAAAGAGATCCAGTCTATCGAGGAAGTTGAGGACCAGACCGCCCTCACCTTCTTCATCGAATCTTTACGATCCGGGCAGCTGTACCGTGATATACGGGACAATCGGCTAGCCACCTACGCGGAGGCCATACATATGGCTAACAAACGAGCCAACACGGAGCAGGCCATAAAGCACAAGCGGCAGCGTGAAGCGGGGGGATCCGCTAATGGAAAGAGAACCCGTGCGGAAGCTAAGGAGAGACGCCCGGAACCGGCTAGGCGACCTGAAGCACGGCGCCCATATGACAGGCCCAGCATTCGCCCTTATAGGCCGACTCCCCAGCACTCGGTGCAGGAAGTGCAAGTAGTCGCGCCTCCTCCACCTCCCCCGCCCGAAGAGCGTACAGCAAACGAGGAGCCCGATAAGGTGTCTAAATATTGTCGCTATCATAAGTCATACACCCACAACACGGAAGAGTGTTATTACCTGAAGAAAATCATGGAAGGGATCATCCAGCAAGGAACCCCGCCTCCCAACCAATGGCGAAGAAGATCAGCGGCCCGGGAAGACGGCGACCCCGCAGGGGCGGCAGAGGGTAGCCGCGGCAAGCAGCCGGCGACTGATGAAGACGAGAGCCAATGGCGACAGAAGCCGATTATCAACATGATAGTCGACGGCCCAGAGGGAGGCGATTCCGCGAACACCAGAAAGGCCTGGGCTCGGCAATTGTATGTTGGGACAGTGTACGGACGAGAAGGTGGTTCGAAGAAAGCCTGCCGAGAGCCTATTGTCTTCACTGACAAAGATCTACCCACAGGAGAGACACCACACCGCGATGCCCTGGTCATCGCGATGGATGTAAATGGGGTGGTCGTTCTGCGAATCCTGGGAGATACCGGGAGCCGGTCAAGACACCACTCACCAGCTTCACAGGCGACTCTGTGGAGGCGGAGGGGTCAATTACCCTTCCAGTAGAAATCGGCAGCTACCCTGATGTGCAGAAGCCGGACATGAAGTTCATCGTGGTCGACCTGACCTATTCACACAACGCAATACTCGGCCGACCAGGATTGGAAGATTTGGGAGCGTTAATCTCCATTGAGCACCTTTGCTTGAAGTTTCGTACGCCAAATGGGATAGGCACAGTCCGCTGTGATAGAAGAATTGCCCGTGACTGCTACTTGCAAGCTTGCAGGGGCATGGGTAAGCGTGAAATGCAAGTCCATGAGATCACAGAACGACCTCCGAAGAAGACAATGATACCCCGCCCAGAGCCGGCCGTAGAATTAGAAGATATCAAAATCGACCCCGAACGACCAGAGAGACGAGTTCGAATTAGAGCCGACCTCCGAGATGAGGTGCGAGAGGAAGACATAAAGGTATTACGAGAGAATCGCTTGGTCTTCGCGTGGGGGCCAGAGGACATGCCGAGAGTGGACAGGTCTATCATCTCGCATCGGCTCGCCGTCGATCCCGATCATCGACCAGTAATCCAGAAGAAGCGATATCTAGCCAACGACCGCAGGGAATTTGTGAAGAAAGAGGTAAACACACTGTTGGCCGCCGGTCATATACGGGAAGTTAAACATCCGGAATGGCTGGCTAACGTGGTGCTCGTACCGAAGCCCCCGGCTTGGCGAATGTGCGTAGACTACACCGACCTCAACAAAGCCTGTCCGAAGGACCCATTTCCGTTGCCTCGGATCGATCAGCTAGTCGACGAAACAGCAGGGTCGGCATTGTTAAGTTTCATGGACGCCTTTAGAGGATATCACCAGATCTTCATGCACAAAGCCGACGAGGAAAAGACAACGTTCTTGACTCCGGATGGGGTCTATTGTTATTGGGTCATGCCATTTGGACTCAAGAACGCGGGAGCCACGTATACGCGAATGGTCGCTCGATTGTTCCAAGGCCTATTGGGAAAGTCTTTGGCGGCTTACGTAGACGACATGTTAGTAAAGAGCTAGGAGGAAATCAATCATGCTGGGGACTTGGCCGATTGCTTTCAGGTAATGCTTAAGTATAATCTACGGCTTAACCCGAAGAAGTGCGCTTTTGTCGTGCAAGGTGGGAAATTCTTTTGATATATGGTGACCAAAAGGGGCATCGAGCCCAACCCGGAGAAGGTGCAGGCCATCATGGACATGTAGCCTCCCAGTACTGTCAAGGACCTACAGCGGCTGACTGGTCGACTGGCTGCCCTTAGTCGTTTTTTAAGCAAGTCAGCAGACAAAACTGTGCCCTTTTTTGAGGCTATGAAGAAGAAGGAGGGCTTGGTATGGACAGCCGAGTGCCAGCAATCGTTCGAAGAGCTGAAAAGATATCTTTCCACACCTCCGGTGCTGTCTACCCCCCAGGCCGGTGAGCCGTTGTTCTTATACCTAGCTGCGTCCTTGAAGGCGGTGAGTTCGGTACTCGTCCGGGAGGAGGAACGTGCCTAGCATCCGGTATATTACGTGAGTCATTCTTTGAAAGCAGCCGAAGCGCGATACACGCCCTTGGAGAAAATCATCTACGCTTTGGTAATCACCGTACGCAAACTGGCACCCTACTTCCAAGCCCACACCGTTCGCGTCTTGACCGATCAACCCCTGGGAAGCGTGTTACGAAATCCCACATCATCCGGCCGACTCGTGAAGTGGGCAGTGGAGCTAACCCAGTACGGGATCGAGTATCAGCCTCGCCCATCCGTGAAGGGACAGGCCTTGGCCGACTTCTTGGTCGAATGCACTGTAGGAGAAAGCAGCAGGGACGATATCTTGGAGGATGGCCCCGGCGAATGGTGGGAGATACATGCGGATGGAGCGGCTAGTCGCCAACATTGCGGCGGCAGAGTTATGTTGATTACTCCAGAATGGTTTAGACTTTACTACGCTTAAAGTTATTTATTCCCAACCTCTAACAATGAGGCCGAGTACGAGGTTGTGTTGGGTGGCCTACGACTCGCCAAGACACTAGGGGCGGAGCGCCTACGAATCAAGACCGACTCTCGTTTGGTGGTTGGACAGGTGTCCGGGACCTGTGACACGAAGAACGCTCGGATAGCTCAATACAAGGAAAAAACGGTAGAGCTATTGAAGGGATTCTGCGCTTATGAGATAGAGTACATCTCTCGAGCCGACAACACAGAGCCCGACATACTTTCGAAGATCGCTTTGGAAGGTGTACCAAATCATCTCGTTAAGATCTACCAAAAGGAAGAACTGGTCCGACCCAACATAGAAGAGGTGACCTTAGAGATTCAGCGAGTGACGGCTGAAGAATGGGACCGGGTGAAGAACCCCGAAATGTTCTGGATCGAAGATATTCGACGGTATAAGGAAAAGGGGAAATTGCCAGAGGACCCCGGAGTCGCCGCCCGGGTCCGTCGCAAGGCTCCATCATTCGAAATTATCGATGAACAACTATACAAGCGGTCGTTTGGGGGCCCCCTCCTCAAGTGCTTACTCAGACCGGAGGCGGAGAAGATAATGGACGAAGCCCATTGCGGAATCTGTGCAGCTCATCAGGGCACCCACACTCTTGCCCGGAAGTTAGTCGTTCAAGGATATTACTGGCCTACCATGAGGAGAGACTGCATCGAGTGGATAACCAAATGCACGATCTGCCAAGCATTCGCTCGAAAGGATACTCGGCCGGCCACTTTCTACACGCCGGTTACTACGACCATCCCGTTCGCCAAATGGGGAATTGATCTGCTGGGCCCACTACCAGTCGCACCCGGGCGTCTGAAGTTCTGTATAGTGTCCATCGACGATTTCACTAAGTGGGTTGAGGCTGAGCCACTAGCTACCATCACCGAATATTAGTGTCGACGCTTCTTGTGGAAGAAAGTAATCTGCCGCTTTGGATTACCTGAGCATGTGGTCAGCGATAACGGTTGACAGTTCGACTGCCAACCCTTTGCCGACTTCTGCCGACGGCATAGTATTCGCCACACCAAGGTGTCCGTAGCTTACCCCCAGGCCAATGGACAAGTCGAGAACGTAAATCGTACAATCGTGGATGGAATCCGGAAAAAGCTGGAAGACATCGGAGGAAACTGGGCGGATGAGCTTAATCGAGTCCTGTGGGCCTACCGAACCACTCAGAGGCGGGCGACCGGTGAAAGTCCGTTCTCCCTGACCTATGGTTTCGAGGCTAAGATTCCCGTTGAAGTCGTCGAGCCTACTCACCGAGTCCGCCGTTACTCGGATGAAGAAAACGAGGAGAGCCTCAGAATTGAAAAGAATTTCTTGGAAGATCGAAGGGAAGCTGCGCATGCCCGTATGGTGGAATATCAGCAGGCCGTAAAAAGATATTGGGATCGAAGGATTCGCCCACAAACTTTTCAAGTCGGCGACCTCGTGCTACGAGATCGACAGGCAAGCCAGCCCACGGAAGGTGGAAAGTTCGCAATTAAGTGTGAAGGACCTTATTGCATTGCCGCGGTGGTCCAAGTCGGCACATACAAATTGGACACATTGGAAGGGAAGCTCGTTGACCGGATCTGGAATGTGATCCACTTGAAGAAGTTCGATCAGTAAGTTTGAAACCTTAAAAGGTTAGCCTATGTATTCACCTAAAGTTCAAACTTGAATAAAGTGCCATCACTTTTCACATCTTGATAACAGTTTCTGAGAGAAAGACAGGAAACAAGGGCTCAGACCCTTAGACGTTTCCGAGAAAAAGCCAGAAGGAGTTGCCTCGACTGAGGGATTCAGCGAGAAAAAGATAGGAAACAAGGGCCCAGACCCTTAGACGTTTCCGAGAAAAAGCCAGAAGGAGTCGCCTCGACTGAGGGACTCGGTGAGAGAAAGATAGGAAACAAGGGCACAGACCCTTAGACGTTTCCGAGAAAAAACCAGAAGGAGTCGCCTCTACTGAGTGACTCGGCGAGAGAAAGATAGGAAACAAGGGCCCAGACCCTTAGACGTTTCCGAAAAAAAAGACAGAAGGGGCCGCCTCGACTGAGGGACTCGGCAAGAAAAAGATAGGAAACAAGGGCCCAGACCCTTAGATGTTTCCGAGAAAAAGCCAGAAGGAGTCGCCTCGACTGAGGGACTCGGCGAGAAAAAGATATGAAACAAGGGCCCAGACCCTTAGACGTTTCCGAGAAAAAGCCAGAAGGAGTTGCCTCGACTGAGGGACTCGGCGAGAAAAAGATAAGAAACAAGGGCCCAGACCCTTAGACGTTTCCGAGAAAAAGCCAGAAGGAGTCGCCTCGACTGAGGGACTCAGCGAGAGAAAGATAGGAAACAAGGGCCCAGACCCTTAGACGTTTCCGAGAAAAAGCCAGAAGGGGTCGCCTCGACTGAGGGACTTGGCTAGAAAAAGATAGGAAACAAGGGTCCAGACCCTTAGACGTTTTCGAGAAAAAGCCAGAAGGAGTTGCCTCGACTGAGGGACTCGGCGAGAGAAAGATAGGAAACAAGGGCCCAGACCCTAAGACGTTTTCGAGAAAAAGCCAGAAGGAGTCGCCTCGACTGAGGGACTCGGCGAGAGAAAGATAGGAAACAAGGGCCCAGACCCTTAGACGTTTCCGAGAAAAAAACAGAAGGGGTCGCCTCGACTAAGGGACTCGGCGAGAAAAAGATAGGAAACAAGGGCCCAGACCCTTAGACGTTTCCGAGAAAAAACCAGAAGGAGTCGCCTCGACTGAGGGACTCGGCGAGAGAAAGATAGGAAACAAGGGCCCAGACCCTTAGGCGTTTCCGATAAAAAGCCAGAAGGGGTCGCCTCGACTGAGGGACTCGGCGAGAAAAAGATGGGAAACAAGGGCCCAGACCCTTAGACGTTTCCGAGAAAAAGCCAGAAGGGTTCTCCTCGACTGAGGGACTCGGCGAGGAAATGATGGGAAACAAGGGCCCAGACACTTAGTCGTTTCCGAGAAAAAGTCAGAAGGAGTCGCCTCGACTGTGGGACTCGGCGAGAAAAAGATAGGAAACAAGGGTCCAGACCCTTAGTCGTTTCCGAGAAAAAGCCCTAAGGAGTCGCCTCGACTGAGGGACTCGGCGAGAAAAAGATGGGAAACAAGGGCCCAAACCCTTAGGCAATTCCGAGGAAAAGCCAAAAGGATTTGCCTCGACTGAGGGACTCGGCGAGGAAAGATAGGACACAAGAGCAGTCGAAAGGCATAAGTAAATTGCATAAAGAAAAACATGAAGAACAGCAAAAGGAAAAAAAATCTTCATTCGATAAAAAGCCCGAAGGGAAGGCCAGCCCTTACAAAAAAAAAAGTAGAAGTTATTAAAAGCCCTAGACTATGGGGGAGGGGTTGTTGACGTTGACTTCGACTTCCACCACTTGTTCTTCCGCCGATGTTCCAGCTGGAGGAGCAGGTGAAGGGTCTTCCACCGGAGGAGGCTGTTCAGTCGAGGTCACTGGGCTCGCCACAGGAAGAGCCACTGGATCAGCCGCCGCCGCAGGTATCTCAGCAGCTGGTAAAGGATCGAGCACCGGCTTGAGGCCCCAGCCATCTGGAGTGAAGGACGGGTCGCGGGCCAAGAGGAGGGCGTGGATAACCATCTGAGCTTCGCGATTGCCCAGGCGATAATCGCGATTGCCCAGGCGATAATCACGCTCGCCCAGATCCAGCAGATAGTCGTCCCCTTCTGGAGTCGCCAGCCACTCCTTTGCCAGCGCCTCTCGACGACCCTCTACCGCCGACTTCACATCTGCCTCAAAGGTAGCCGAGTTCTTGTACTCGGCAACAGCGGTGGCAACCGAGGCAGCGGCGGCGACGGCTTTGTCTCGCTCTGTCTCCCATTGGCGGGTGACCCTCAGCAGCTCGGCGGTATGAACCTCCTTTGCCTTGGCATAAACTGCCTGTTCTTCCAGGCGAGCCTCCTCTGATTGGCGTAGACGAGTGGCGATGGAGTGCATTGTAGCATTGAGCGTCCGTATCCACCTCCTCAGTTCCAGCTGAAAAGTGAGGTTCTAAGAAAAAGGATAAAAGGAGCAGTGTTAGAAGAGAATCTAGAAGGAATTGAAAAAATAAGGAGGTCGACAAAGAACTTACTCGGTAGGACTGGCGCAGGGAGGCTTCCAGGATATATTCATCCTGCATCTTGTTCGCGAGTAGTTATGCTGTGCATCTGTATGCACCATGCATGGTGCATACGGATGCAAAAACGACGACGTTTTATTAAAAACGCGCGTCTCCCCTTAAAAAAAAATTCAGGTTCGATTCCCAGCAACAGCATTATGTTGTTCATTCATTCTGAAATTTTAGTTCATAGATTATGGAATTTTAGTTCATTGATTATGGAACTATAGTTCATCGATTCTGGAATTGTAGTTCATCGATTCTAAAATTTTACTTCATAGATTCTGGAATTTTTAGTTCATAGATTAGATTCCGGAATTATAGTTCATCGATTATGGAATTATAGTTCATCGATTCTGGAATTATAGTTCATCGATTCTGGAATTTTAGTTCATATGTTGTTGCTGGGAATCGAACCTGATTTTTTTTTTTAAGGGGAGACGCGCGTTTTTAATAAAACGACGTCGTTTTTGCATCCGTATGCACCATGCATGGTGCATACGGATGCACAACATAATTTGCACTTGTTCGCCGCCTCCAAGTCCTTGGGGAGGAGGACATGTTCGGCCCAATTCTGGACCGAGTATTTGCCCGTCCAAATCTGGGTATCTTCTTTGAGCTCCAAACCCAGCCGGATCTTCTTGGGACGAGGCGCGTCCGACTGCTCCAGTGGGCGCTTGGAGCTAGGACTCTCCGTAGGCACTGGAGGCGGAAGGCGAGAAGGAGAAACAACAGGAGACGTCGTTAGATCCACCACAGTTCGTGGAGGAGTTAGAGTCGCCTGGGGAGCCGGTGAAGGAAGGGAGAAAATACTGCTACTTTCCCATACCCGAGTTAGAGGCCCGGCTATGAGAAAGTGAGGGACTAGATGATGGGGTGTAGACCCCAGCCCAAGAAGAACAAGGCCCAAGAGATAAAGTCCATGGATAGCGGAGGAAGCCCAGAGCATTTAAAGCATGACCCGGCGGGTAAAAGGTTTATAGGGCCCAACAGGGGCCAAGGCCGCATCCAGGAGTCGGCCCAGGCCCAGGTGACGACTCGGCAGAGATCCGTTGTTCGGCATTTATAGCCGCAGTTAAGAGGTTCGACCAAGCAAGCCGTTGAGAGCCCGAGAGAGCCGTTGGTCGGCCTGGTAACGCCACCCAACGGCCCCAAAAACATAATTAGTCTTAAAGTAGTCTTTTAATGAGCTTTAACTCGGTAGAGGAGGGCCTACTATATAAAGGGCCCTCCGTGGATGTAAAAGGGGCGAGTCCATGCCCAGATAATAGGGAGACACCATTTTTGCTATTACATTTTCCTCAAAGCTTTTATTGAAAGGTGAATCCACCGACTAAGGTTGTGTTGGACCTCCTTGGGCCCAAAAACCCTAAAACCAACAAACGCTAATCTAAGTACTAAGTTTAAATAAATACTATTTTTGGTTTAAATTTTTCTAATTCTCTTTTGGGTAGCATTTTTATTGTTTTCATCTTCAATATATGTCTTTATTTTTTTATTTTTTTTATTGGTACTGTGTCATGTGCAATTGGGTTATTGGTGGTATCATAGAGGAATTCATCATGCAATGAGATTATGTTGTATGAAGTTTTTGATTTGTCTTGTTGTGTATATGACTGATATCTTAGTTGTGCTATGAACTCTTTATCTTACAAGCACATGTTGATATTTGGTAGTGGTAGTTTTCACCTACATGTTTCATGTGTTGTGAGGCATCTAATTCTAAATTAATTAATTGCATATGTATTATTTTTTGTTGTAGCTACTAATTTATTTTTTAATTTAAGTAATAAGAGCAATAAAGTGGAAAAATTATGTTGTGGAACCTTGTCCACCTTTCAAGGTGGACACGGTTCCAAAACTGTTCATAATTAGGTGGACACGGTTCCAAAACTGTTCATAATTATGAATATATAGTTCAAAAATTATGAACACATAGTTCTATAATTATGAACATAGTGTTGTGAACATAATTATGAACATATAGTTATGTAATTATGAATATAGAGATTCAATAATTTTGAATATGAAGTTCAAAAATTATGAATATATAGCTTTATAATTATGAACATATAGTTTAGTAATTATGAACATAGAGTTTTGTAATTGTAAATATAGAGTTCAATAATTATGAATATGAAGTTCAAAGATAATGAATACATAGCTTTATAATTATGAACATATAGTTCACTAATTATGAACATAGAATTGTGTCCACCTTGCAATGTGGACACGGTTCCACAACATAACTATTCGATTGACCCTGTTACATGTAATATATGTTCATATAAACTTTCTCAATCTATTGAAGCTCAACGAGTCAAAATGCTCTTATTTAAGAAACCTTATCTTTGTGGCTTTTTATTTTAGCTTTTTTAGTAATTTTTTAATTTATTAGAGGGTTTGAGAAATATTAACACAAAATGTATATGCGTTGTTTTAGTTTTTAGCAGTTTAGAGAAAATTGCTAAGTTATTAAATAATATATTTGGTGCTTTGATTAAATATAAAATATTAAACAGACGAATTTCTTAAAATTTTGACGAATTTGACAAATAATCAAATTACAACAACAACAACAACAACAACAACAACAATAATAATAATAGTAATAATAATCCAAACAAAACTATATACAAAATAAAAAAATAAAAAAATAAAAAATAAAAAAGAAGAAGAAGAAGACAAAGGGGAGCTATGGGCTCCCTTTGTAAATGAACACATTGAAAATGTTTGAAAAGATGTGCTTTTGAACTCCTCTATATAAGAGGTACAAATATAATTGTTTGCCCATCGATGTGGTAAGTATTGAGAAGTCAAAAACTAGGTTCTTATTTAAGAAACCTTAGCTTTGTTTCTTATTTTAGTTTTCTTATTCATTTATTATTTATTATTTATTATTTATTATTTATTATTTATTTATTATTTATTAGTGGGGGTTGGGAAAGATTAACCTAAAATGTATGTATTATTTTAGTTTTTAGCAATTTCGAGCAAATTATTGAGTTATTAAATAATATTTTTGGTGTTCTGATTAAAGATTAAATTTTTAAAATGGCGAATTTGTTAAAATTTTAGCGAATTAGTCAATAATCTAATAATAATAATAATAATAATAATAATAATAATAATAATAATAATAATAATAATAATAATAATAATAATAATAATCCAAACAAAACAATATACAAAATAAAATTAAAATTAAAAAAAAAAAAAAAAAAAAAAAAAAAAAAAAAAAGAAGAAGAAGAAGAAGAAGACAACTTTGTAAATGATGTGGGATCATTTTGATCCCACATTAAAAATGTTTGAAAAGATGAGCTCTTGAGCTCCTCTTACAAGCATAATTGATTGCCCATCAATGTGGGCAAGTATTGAGAAGTCCAAAGTCATTTTTTTTTTTTTATAGAAGTAAAGGAAAATTCAAAATTGAAAAAATAATTCAATAATAATATTTTACATCATCAAATAGTAAATGCATATTTTCAAAAATAGTAAAGGTAAATTAAAAATGGAACGAAAATATTTCATTAATAATATTCTACATCATCAAATTAAAATGAAATGGAAATTAGGTAAAAATATCACCGCATCTATATTCTAATTGACTAAGTGACTGAAAATGAATCTAATATTACTAATTGACTGAAAATATAAAAAGAAATGAATATTAATAATTGACTACAAATAAAAAATGATCCATAATTGACTAAAATGAAAAAAGAAATGGTCAGATCATTGCATTTTAATTAAAAATGGAATGAAAATTAAAAATTGAAGGAAAATATTCCAGTAATAATATTCTACATTATCAATAGTAAATGCATATTTTAAAAAATAGTAAAGGTAAATTAAAAATGGAACGGAAATATTTCAACAATAATATCTACATCATTAATTAAAAATGGAACGAAAATTAAGTAAAAATATCACTGCATTTGATATTCTAATTTACTAATTGAGTGAAAATAAAAAAGAATAATTGACTGAAAATGAATTTGGTATTATTACTTGACAGAAAATATAAAAGGATAACTAATTGAGTGATATTCTACCATTATATATTTTCACCCAAGTAACCCGTCCTAATTGATTGAAGGTGTTAGTTCTAAGCGAAGATGAACAAGATTGTGTTGCCACTACTATTGTCGTCTAGAAAGAGGTTTCAATAATGTGTAAATATAATTGGTGATATTAAGTTTTTCTTAAATGAAAAAATTGCTATATATCTAGACAAAAAAATATATCTTCCATACAAATGAATGAGGATAGCAATTCATTTCTATAACTGAGTTGTTAGAGAACGAGCACATTTGCTTAATTTATGAAAATATTAAACAATGATAAATAAAATCTTCAAAGTTATAGCACCACATGCGTACACCTAGACATTAACTATTAATTTGAGCAATTATTTGCACAAATTCAAGCAATGATAACATCAAAATATATAAACGATCCAAACCATATCTTTAATTGCACTATATAATATTTGATGTTCTAATTTAAATAATTATATATCAATTCATATATTCTTAATATATTACAACAAATCCATTCTGTGCATCGCACGAGTGCAAATACTAGTTATATATAAAATAATTATATATCAATTCATATTTGTCTCTAGTTGCACGAAGATTCACTTCAACCTTTGGGGTTAGCTTACGTCTTGTAGACGATGATGCCGATCAATTCGAGCAAGAACAACTACAACTGGCTCCAAACTGCAAGTAGAGTAGCTTTCTTCGTCAAGTTCTTCAGTTGTCTAGATATGCACGCTACAACTTTACTTCTTTGCAACAAAAGATCTCACTACTTCTAACTTTCTTTTCTCAAAAGCAAGGATCACACAAGTAAAACACACAAACAGGATATAAGCATAACTCCTATACTTATCACATTAACAACTTTCACATAACCTTCAACTTTTAACTTTTCAACTTTTCAACTTTTCAAGGGTATTAGCAAGGCTAAATAAAGCAACCACTTAACTAACAAACTTGGATTCACCAAATAGGTGCATACTTGATTTGAAGGAATGTCGACTTCACAAAAGAGGAAAGTGGGAGGTTTCTAAATTTGAAACTCAAGAGTACTATTGGTCACAACCAAAGTCATGATCATCAAAGTCACGATTTTCCAAGATTCAATAAGGTCTCGTGAAACAAAAGCTGTGGATCGAATTCCAAGAGAAGGACACAACAAAGAATAATCTCAATGAAATAACTCAATACTAACGGATTCCAAATAAAGATGCAATAAGGATTTAATCTCAAGCAATAGATCAACACTAGTGAATTCCAAAGGAAGATATAAAAGAGAGATGACCTTGAAGCATTAGCTCAATAGCTCAATAACAAAGAAAAAATTACCACAATGGACAATCTCAAGACAATAGCAACAAGATCCGAGAGTACAAAAAGGACACATAGTCAATAAAATAGCTCTTCAAGAACAAAATACTTTCAAGAATGCTCAACAGATATAAGCTCATAGGAATTACTCAACAAATATGGATTCCAATGGCATAACAACAACGAATAGATCTTGACTCAACAACTCAATGGATTCCAACAATGGGGATTCAAGGATAATAAGCTCAAGTCAAATTCAACGAGATTCCAAGAATAAAACTTACAACAAGGTCATACTAGCATCAAGAACTAATTATACTAGCATGCAACCAACGAAAGGCTCACAAGAATACTTATAACGAATTAATAAGCATTCGGATCAACAAATTCAAAATAGCTCATATGAATATCAATAATAGATTATTTCAAGGAATTCAAGATCCAAACTCAATCAAAGCAAGCCTAAAATACCCAGCTCTAGACTCCAAAGAGTTCCAATAAACATTCCAAACCAAATAGGAGCAATCAGGAGATCACAGTACAAGAAAATAGCCAAAAGCTCAAAATCAAGGATTATCATGCCATCAACAACAATGAATTCAAAATAGAAGATTGGCACAATAAACACAACAATATACTCAAGATTCGACGTTAAAACCAAGCATATGAACAAGGAATATGCTTAGACAACCAACAACACAATGAATGTTCATATATGGAGTGAAAAATAGGTTTCAAGGACAAAGAGCTTATGTGCACACTATCAGGGTACAACAACCACGGATCTAAACAAGTAAATCAAATCACATAATAACAATAAGCATGCGCAAGTAACTCACAATCTCACCGCGTTCCTAACTGAAATACTTAAGAAACTTCTTAACTTGATTTTTACACTTAACTGCTTATCTTAGAGTCTTCCTCACCTTAAATCTTACAACTTAGAGTTCACTTCTTTAACTCTAATTCACATACTTAGTCACCGAACTTAGTGTCTTTCTCATTTTAATTTACATAACTTAGGGTTCTTCCCCTAATCTTATCCTTCCTAGGATTTCACTTAAGTTCATCTTCTTAGCTTACCCTACTTATGATTTCAACTTAGAGGTCATTTCATAATCGGTCCTTCCTAGGATTTCCCCTTAGAATTTCTATACTCAATCTTAAGGGTCAAACTTCCTAAGTCTCCCGCGGTTCGTACCGCTCTGATACCAACTTGTAACACCCCACTTTTCTTAAACTTACTTAACAATCTAAAACCAAAAATAAGATAAACTAAGCAGTGGAAAGGTAAACTTAATTAACAAACTTAGTAGGAGTGTCACCGCCACAACCACCTTCCCACGGTGATTGCACAGGCTAAGGGTAAAACTAAACATCAAGCCAAACTAACGTCCGAAATTTACTACATTAAAGTAACTTGGAGAAATAAGTACCCCGATGTCTATCACCAAACACAATAACAAGTGTCTACATCCATAAATCCAAAACATCATCAATAAAACAAGAGTTTAAACTAATAGCAACAAACTACACTATTCTAACTCGAGCACTCTCAAACGCTGGGCCCACCTGAAAGGGGTTTTGCAAATAGACAAATAGAAAACACCCGTTAGCACGAAACTAAGTATAACTCCACTCAACCCTGTAAAATACTACAGTATATACTTTGGAAAAACATTTGTTCACATACTCAAATTAACAATCACAATCACTTAGACAAAAACCTTAATATAAACCACAAGGCTTTCCATATGCTTACAACCTAAATTATCAAATATGCATACTTCAACGATATCAAACCTATCATCATGCTGCTACCATCGAATACTTAACATAGCAATCTCAATCCTATATAACAACTCAATAACTATCTCATGCCAACACATAAGCTTAACAAACAATCTCATGCTATCAAATTCTCAACATGCAATTAAGTGCAATCAAGTATCCAACATATAGTCTATCGTAAACATATCATGCAAACTCGTGCAATCAAATCTCAATATGCAATCTAGTGCAAACCTCCTCGATATGCAATCTTGTGCAAACATTCTCAAATGCAATAAGATCTATAGAATAAATATACATATACTCTCGTTTGTAAATAGAATACTTTTCTGTGGAGGTTTCTTAGAGCCACAAGGACTCGCTTGCTTTCATTTCTTAGAGTCGCAATGACTCGCTTTCTTAGAGTCGCCATGAATCGCTTTCTTAGAGTCGCAATGACTCGCTTTCTTTACAAATGGATGAGGTAGGAACTTCACCGTAGTCTGAACGAACCTATCCTGGTACGGCCTCTAGCCGACCTATGCTCAATCTCATCCACCGAACCACTCTCTTGGTTCTATTTTCAACTCTGTGGAATCAGGTATCGAACTTTCAGCGTGCACACCCCCTGACTAGGATTCCAAGCCCGGCGGACAGTTTCCAACCTCGTAACGTGGGAATACACTGCGTTACAACACATCGGATCGCAATATCCGGTCAACATCATCCGAAATGACATAGTCCCAACGGGTCCTCCAAAACCTCACTTATATGGATAGATAATATATATATTTCTCATGCACCAAACTTATGCATGTCACATCTCAACAACTTCTCAATGCAACAAGGTGATGACATGCCACATGCTTATGAATTTTGGAAAATAATACTAGGCTCACGTTGGCCTTTTATGCACTTTTAAAACATGAAATGCTTGGAATGTAATTTACTGAACACATGCTCCTATTCTATATATCACTGTGAACTCTCAAAGAACACACAATCACGCTTGAATTGGAAAAAATAACATACTTTGTACATTTCTACTATCGAAACAGACTACAATTTCCATTGAACATAATACACACTTTAATCATGCTTTTCTAACAATTCTCATTCACAAAATATTCATGCTTCTCTATTTAATACTCAAATATCATCAGGAAGATATTAACAAGCAAATCCCATAGGCAGTGCAAGTCTAATGAACTCAAAAATAACATTACTGTAAATCATTTCATCACAATTTCTATCATAACATGCTCATTTCTAATCCAAAATCAACGAAATCAAAGGCCAAACGTGCGTCATGACGATCCCAAGGTACCGAGCCACAAGGGCCCGTGACACCTGGTCCGAAACGACACGTAGCTGAGCCACAAGGGCCCGACCACTGCACAGGTAGCCAGCAACGGTCCTAGCGGCGGGGCTAGGGAAGCTCCGCCGCCTGGAGTCGTCCAGCGGTGGCCTAGGGCCATGTCCCTTGACTAGGGCCATCTAGCCACGGCTCTAGCCAACGGTAGGGGTGTTCATTCGGTTAACCGAACCGTTTTAACCGAACCGAATTAACCGAATTTTTTTTTTGCTTTAACCGTTAACCGAATTGAACTTTTTTTCGGTTAATCGGTCGATTAACCGATTAACCAAAATTTTTTTCCCTAAAATTTAAAATCCATAAAATAATTCCTAAAATAATAATTCCAATTAAAATAAAATACATAGATACTAGAACTTGGGACCCCCATATACTCCGGGACTTATTCACACCTGATGATGTGGCACGAATTAACCGTATACCTATATGCCCAGATTACTCAGACACATGGTATTGGCAAGGGGACCCAAATGGAAACTATACGATTAAGGGTGGTTACAGGCTTGTTGTTGGAAATTATGCACACAATGTTGGGGGTTTTAGTGATTGGCTCCACGTATGGAAGATGAAGATGCCACCCAAGTGGAAATTATTTTTATGCAAAGCATTGAGTGGTGTTCTCCCTACCACTACTAATCTCATAACGAAAAGAGTGGAAATTGATCCAGCATGTTCTATGTGCACTACTCATCATGAATATACAATGCATGCCCTAGTATCTTGTGTTTTCTCGCAAACTGTATGGCGGGAATCTTCATTGCCTATTATGCATGTTGTGGCCGATTCTTTTGAGACTTGGTTTGTTGTGATTATTAAAACACTCACCTCTAACCAACTTGTTATGGCAGCCGCGGTCCTCTATTATATATGGCGGGCGAGAAACCAGGCGGTATGGGAGCATACATTACCCTTGCCCCGGAGGGTAGTCAATGCCGCAAGAGCCGCAACCCAGGCGTGGCGCTCGGTGCATGGAGTGACGACGACAGCGCAGCCTTCCATCTCTGTTGGCAGTGGCGGGAATGGACTGCCCAGGGCATATGTAGATGCCGGGTTTCATGCGTCGACGGGAAGGGCTACGACAGGTGCGGTTGTGCTGTCCAACGAAGGCCAATACATGTCAAGTTTCAGTATGCAACTACCCGATTGCCCATCTCCGTTGATGGCGGAGGCTTTGGCATGTAAAGAGGCTCTATCATGGTTGAAGGAAAAAGGAATACTCTCGGTACAACTACATACGGACTGCCGCAATTTACAACACCATTTAACGACACAAGCCACACGGATGCGCTCCTATATTGGCTATATCATTGATGGATGCAGGACTATTTTGTCAACTTTTAATTTATGCCCAGTTATTTTTGTTCCTAGACTAGATAATCTTATGGCTCATACTTTAGCATCTCATGCTTTTACTCAGACTCATGTGATGTATTGGGATTCTATCCCTCCGGATTTTGTTGCAGCTTATCTCTAATATAATCATCTTATGTGGTGGCTTTCAAAAAATACATATCATAATAAATTTAGATTATTATTTATTCTATTTGACATTTTGACTATTTATGATTTTAGTAATTATATATTTAATATTTAATATATTATATATTATATATATATTTCAAAATTCAGTTAACCGTTCGGTTAATTCGGTTAACCGACACTTTCGAACCGAATTAACCGTTAACCAAATTTTAGGAAAACCTTTAACCATTAACCGAACCGAAATATTCGCTTCGAAAACGGTTAATCGAATTTCGTCGGTTCGGCCGGTTAACCGAAATTTCTCAGAAATTTGCACACCCCTAGCCAACGGCTCCCCTCGTGGGCCGTTGGCTAGGCCCGTGACTTCCACTGGTGCACATTGAGAGGTGCACCCGTGGCTCCTTCTTCACCTGTAAAGCCAAACCAGACAAATAACTACCTCCAAATCAACAACAACACATCATACAACATCAACAAGACATCCAATAGCTCAAACATACAACATTCTAGCATTTCTACTCATTTCTAGCTATTTCACAGAGGCTCCACAGAGCCAAAACTAAGCTGGAAGTCCATGGGGTTATACCTTTGTTGTTTCCTCTTCTTAGCTTGTTGGGATTCCTCCTTCTTCCCAAGTCAGCCACTACCTCCTTCACCTCCTAGACACCTCAAACAAACCACACAACAACCCTTAAAAACAAGAACCTTAGAGATAGGAAGCTAAGGAAGGGAAGCTAGATGGAAATAAATGAATGGATGAGGATGAGCCTAAGAAACTTACTGTTTTCTTCTTGGTTTTCTTGCAGAGTTCTTAGTGGGAAGACAAGGACGGAATTAGGAAGAAATGTCTGCTAACTATACATTTTATAGTGGCTCAAAACCCTAGGTGAATCAACAATGATTGGTGGATGGCAAAATGGTAATTTGGCTTGGCTTTTAAAAGTATCAGGCAAGGAGAGGTGGAGTCTAGTGGTTCACCAAGCTTCATGGACCAAGATCTAGAATCATAGTTTTAAATAGTTTTGGGGTCAAAAATACATTTTTCCAAAAATACTTTCTAGACAACCACTTAATTTAGATTTCTCAGATTTCTCCCGGTTTCACTTAGATTGACTTTCGGATCAGAAACTTGGTACGCAATGTACCCGAGAATTTAGAATTTTTTGAATTAAAATA